CACGTTTGTTATGGCCATTGACCTTTGTGGACCTGTTAATAATGCGCGAAATTGCGTCGGTACAAGCCCCATATCACAAGTAAGGAGTTCCCATTGTAAGTCGAAGTAACTCGATTATAAACTAATTTAACTATTTCCAGGAAGAACCCCTCCGACAGAAGGATGTTAATGTGTGCGTGGAATCCATCTGACCTTAGTAAAATGGCACTGCCGCCGTGTCATTGCTTGGCCCAATTCCACGTCGCCAATGGCAAGCTTAACTGCTTGTTATACCAGAGAAGCGCTGACATGGGGCTGGGTGTACCATTCAACATTGCCAGCTACTCTTTGCTGACTCATATGATTGCCCACATTACTGGACTTGAGGTACATAACATTGGCAACTCTAAGACGAAAATGGAACATGGTTTAGTATTATTATATTAATTTGTACTTATATAGAGGAAAAGATAAAAATTTTCATACTTTCATAATTTACAGGTGGCCCATTTACGTGTATGTAAAATAAAAAATGTCCTAAAGGTCTAAAGTAACGGCCTAATCTATGAACAAACACAAAAATAGCTCATTGCATGCTAGGTACATTACAGTAATGTAAATCCATACCACAAACTAGAATGGTTTTAGAGTAGAAATTTGTCAAAAAATACATAAAATAATCATACGTTCTAAATTATTGATTTTCGCTGAACTAATGTTAATTTTAAATGGATTGTTACAATGCCTTCTATCTAAAAAAATGTTTTGACCACTGTAAATGGGCCACCCTGTATTGTGATATAATAAAAAAAATAAAAACCACATTTAAAAGATAAATATATAACATAATAATAAATAAACAGGTCTCTAAGGCACGCTATTTTTACAGGCAGGTGAATTCGTTCACACCACAGGTGATACTCACGTCTACCTCAACCATGTTGAGCCTCTGAAGAAACAATTGGAGAGAGAACCCAGGCCATTCCCTACGCTTGAGTTCGCTCGAAAAATCGACTCCATAGACGATTT